AATTCCCCTTTCAACCTCAGTGTCGCAATACCCACCCCAGCTCTCCTATGTTAACCGACAAAATAAATCCACTCCACTAAATTAAAGCGAGGATCTCAGAGAAGAGTCAGGGAAACAAGTTTCCAAGAGGCTCTGCGAGGCTTACGCGCAGCCGAAGCAACCTTTGGATCAGTCAGCAGGCAAGTTTCACGTGGAGTCCCCTGCAGGAAATTAAGGACACGGTCCCGGCTATGGTGGTGGGGACTCCCAGCCCTTGGTCTGGGAAGCATTGGCCCAGCCTCTGGACCCCTGGATCGTTGTCAGGGCGGTGGTGTGGGTGCCAGACTGTCAGCCCCAGAAGGGGTTTCCTTGCGGGCCTGTTTGAAACGCCTGGCTCAGGCTGTCAGCCGCTGTTACACCCGCTTATCCTGGCCTCTATTTATCTTCAACAAGCTCTTGCAAAAATGCATTCAGTGTACCAAGTTCTCCGTGAGGCATCTAAAGAGGCAGAGTGCAAGTTCAGGACGATAGTTAAATGTAGCTGGAGATGCCCTCGGCGTCCTCCTTGTGGTTTGAATGACTCCCTGGAGAGGCCAGGCTGATGGGAAGAGGCCCCCCCCCACCAGAAGTGGGGACAGGTGATGGGGTAGGAGGTCCTGCTCCGACAGGAAGCGTCTTCTCAGCACGGCTTCCCTCTCCCTCCCACACTCCATCCCTAAATAACAATTCCTAATTTGGAAGTGCTGTTCCAGTGGGACGCCTGCTAGCCACCTCCTGAGTGGACAGGAGCCCCTTAGCCTTACTTCCCGGCACCTGAGACATCTTAGGAAGGGAAGCGTTTAAGGCAAACAGTGGCTGGGCGGGTACAGCTCAGTAGTAGAGCTCATGCTTAGCACTCACTAGGTCCTGGGTTCAATCCCCAGGGCCTCCATTAAAAATAAACAGACAGACCTAATTACCTCCCCGCCTCCAAAAAACATAAATCAAACGACATAGTAACATTGAAGAGCTGTCTAGATAATACAAGGGAGACATAGGGATCGATCTTTCTTTTTCCCCTAAGAAAAGAAAAACACTAAAGGCTTCACAAACAGCCCTCCAAGACTAATTCCTGGCAGGGTCTTTTTAAGACCCTATTTTCCTATAATGGCTAGTTTTGCTCTACAAGAAAATCTTTAAGTTTTGCTCCAATAATGACAAGTTAATTATTTTTTTAACCTAGAATCTATGCAAGAGAAAGCACAGAATTTGCCAGAGAATTTGGGATCTATTCTTATCTACATGTGCTCCCTGTACCTGCACTAAAATGGGGAGAGCTACAGAAAGCCGGAGAGGAAAGCCGAGTTGTTTGAACCTGCTCGTTTCCATTTTGTGCCTTCTGTAAGCATTTCTGTGATGGCTGCTCTGCTGGAGAGTTCTTGAGTTTCTGGGAAACTGGAAATGTGGCCCACCCTCCTGGCTGGAGAGAGGAAGTGGCCGCTGTGAGGAGGCAGAGAGAATGTGGTACCAACAACACAGGACGTGTGCAGACCTTGACCCTCCTCCCCTCCTGCCTGCCAGTCTGGCTCTGCCCACAGGTGAGGGCTGCCACGCTCATGTCAACAGGCTAGGGCTTGGTAGGTCCCAATGGAGCTAGGCTCAGTGGAACAGGCATCAAGCCAGGAGTAGGGGTGGGAAGTCACCCCCACCTGTCAGAGGAGAAGGGGCAGGTGACAAAGACACCAAGGCGGCTGTGAACAAGGACTGGAGTTGAGGGGACACACAGTAAGCCCTTCACATTCGTGATTTCTGCATCTGCAGAGTCAACCAACCATGGGTCAAAAAATATTTGGGGAAAAAAAAATCCAGAAAGCTCCAAAAAACAAAACGTGAATTTGCCAGCCATAGGCAACTGTTTACATAGTTTTTACATTGTGTTTACAGCTATGCACATTGTATTAGGTACAAGTCATCTAGAGATGATTTTAAATATGTGAGAGTGTGTGTGTAGGTTTATACAAATTCTGTGCTATTTTCTATAAGGGACTTGAATTTCTACAGTTTTGGGTGGGAAGGGGAGGGGGCCCTGGAACTGATCTCACAGGTACCAAGGGACAACTTATACATTGGAGAATTCACTACATGTTGGGCACTGTGCTGGGTGCTTCTCAAATACTCTTTCTTCCTCTTACAACCTTGATTCTAATTACAGCAGAATTGTGGAGGCAGCCAGGGAGGGGCGGGGAGTGGCACTTTGTAAAGCGAATTCAATATCCACATGACTTCAATTGAAAGTTGAGAGAGAGAGAAAATAAAACAGGACAGAACCTTCACTGGTACTGAATCCTGTAAGACAGTCCAGGAAAGCGTGAAAGAGTGGGTTCCCAGCCCTGAGGCCAGGGAGGGCAGCGTCCCAGATGCTCTGGCACAGGGAAGGCGAGGCCAGGGAGGTGGCGGAGGTTGGTCCAGAACCAGGTCTCACCCCAGCCATGGGCCTGGTCTGGCCTCTTCTGCTTGCTTCATCTGAGTTTGAAACGTGAGTAACTGGACGGAGATAAGTCAGTAAGGTGGCAGCTAGTCATGCTTCCTGTCTTCACTTTCCGTCCATGGAGCACTCACTAACGTTACATGATGCAACTTGCTGTGTCCGTCAAGGGATGTCCCAGGAGGGGCTCCAGTGCCTTCCCGGGAGAGGAGGGGCTCCAAGGCTGTTGCACACATGACACTAAACCCTGTACTGGGGCTTCCACGGTGACTCACCCTGCCCTCTGCTTGACCCTGCCCAAGCTCTCCTGGGGTCCGCCAAGCACCCTACTCCCTCACAGTGCAGCCCCGTTTCAGGGCATGAACTACCTGGAAGACCAGCACTTGGTGCACCGAGACCTGGCGGCCAGGAACGTCCTGGTGAAGACAGCGCAGCACGGCAAGATCACAGACTTTGGGCCAGACTGCTTGGTGCTGAGGAGTACCTCGCAGAAGGAGGCAAAGTAAGGAGCTGGTGGGTGGATGGGCGAACATCCACGTCAGCAGACTCACTGAGTAGGGGCATTATTGGGATTTTCACGGTGAGGTCACAGCAGCTGTCATTGACACCTGGGTCGAGCCAGGCCTTTTGTCCAGCTCAGCCAGAGATGCTTGGGGAGCAGGATTTGCTGGGAAAGTGAGTAAAGGTCTTTCAGACACATCGAGAAGCCAAAGGTAGTGATCACGAGTTTAGTTCTGTCTCTCAGTGACCATTTGCCAAGGTTAGGGGCCTTGAGAGCAGTGCTGAAAGCCGCCCTGAGTTGTTCCAGGAGCTCCCAAGGGGCACTGGCCATCATAGAGGGATAGGCCCAAGGGTTCTCCAGGGGCTCTCACAGCAGTGAGGGGTGCCGGCCTCCTATTAGGCCCTCCAGACACGCTGGGTCAGCCGCACCCCCCTTCAGTTTCACTCGGCCCGCATGGTTGCAAGCAGCCGGCCCCTGCAGACACCCACAGACACCGGGCCTGACCCGGGCCCCCAGCTCCCAGCTCAGCAGAACAGCCCACAGACCAAAGGCCTTCAGCTCTGAGGCTGAACGGACCTGTTCTCTGCCAGACTAAAAGCTCTCCTCCTGCTGGGAAGGAGCCCTGGGCCTGGGGGTCAGGGTGGTGGTGGCCCCAGCTTCCTCCCCTCTGTCACTTGTAGTTTGTCCCAGTGTAACTTATTGCTTTTTTTTTTTAACAGAGGGAAGCTAATAGTTGCCTTATTACTTTCACCTTTCATCATCCCAAGGTGCCTATCAAGTGGATGGCTTTGGAATCGATTTTACACTGAATTTATATCCACCAGAGTGGTGTCTGGGGCTACGGTGAGTCAAGTCCCTAAGGCTGATGGATGGTGCCAACGCTCTGCTGGCTTATGTTGTGGTAGGTTCACATGACCCGCTCCGTCATCCCAGACAGTGACTGACAGTGACGCCACTGCGTTGTCTGTCTGTTACACTAGAAAACGTGAGAAAGGAAACTGGGCCTGACTACTGTACCGAATGTCACCGGAGGTATCAGTGAGCCTGTTAGGAGAGAGGGCAATGGGGGGGGACTTGAACTGAGGAAATGCCTGTACCCACAAAATCAAACCCATCGTGACCTCTTGCCATAAATTTGAAGTGAACCAAAGGCAGATTACAAGCGAGGTTTCATGGGCAGAGAAGTGTGGTTTTATGAGGGACTTAACCCCGTGGCTGTTGTTCAGGTGGTGTGTGAAGTTTGTGTGTCAGAGAGGAGGAGCTTGATAGAGATGCGCTGTGAGGAGGTGCCCGCAGGAAAATGCAAGAAAGGGGAAAGTTACTGCTTCCAGCTCTAGTGAGGACCATCTCACCAGGACCTGATTCTCTTCCTTCTTCCACATCCCCCCAGCCCTGTGCTCCATGCCCTGAGGTGCTTCTCTCTCCTCAAACACGTCTTTCACATCCTGGCCTCATCCTCCGTGCAGAGGATTCCGGAGCCTGCGGGGGCCTCGCCTTGTGGGAGAGCGGCCCCGGTACGTCCACTGAGTGTGTGCTAGGTGCTTCCATCTGTGTTACCACTGCCAGCTCCCCGTGTCACCCGAAATCTGCCAAAAGCTTGCCAAACACCTGATCCGCATCGATCTGTGAATTTTCAGCCTGTCCCAGCTATTAAGGCATTGGAGGTGAAGTGGGGAGTCACCCCACCCCCATTAAAAATGTGTATTTGAGGAGAGCAATATTGAAAGGAATTTCCAGGAGGAATGTAGTCATATCACAAAATTAAAGTCACATATAAACCAACTGACTTCTAATATTTTAGTTGTGCTAATCTATTTTTAAAAATCCCCCTTTACTAACATTTTTCTATAAAAAATGTTTATGTAGTCAAGTTAAATTTTTCAATACTTCAGATTGCTTTGGTAATTTTAGTTTAAGATTAAGTTTAAGTTTAAGAATGCTTCCATGAGTCTCCTCTGTTAAGTGAATGTGGAGTATCATTCATAGGTTTTAACTTTTAAATAAGACTTATGTTGTCTCATGAAGACACCAATTAACCTGAACTCCCTAAAGTTTTCATACCAGTTACCTGATCAGATAGGGTAACAGTTCTTGCACACCATGTTCAAGACAATGAAAAACACACAACTGTATTTCATACCTAGAAATAAATTTAACCAAGGAGGGGGAAGATCTGTACACTGAAAACTACAGGACAGTAAGAAACAAATTAAAGTAGACAAAAATAGATAGATACTCCATGCTCATGGAATTAAACAATTAACAGTGCTAAAATAGACCCATGCTACCCAAAGCATTCTACAGATTTAATACAATCACTATTAAAAATACAGATAACATTCTTCACAGAAGTAGAACAAAAAATTCTAAAATTTGTATGGAAACACAAAAGACCCCCAACAGCCAAAGCAATCTTGAGAAAGAATAATGCTGGAGGCATCATGCTGTCTGATTTCAAACTCTATTCTAAAGCTGTAGTAATCAAAATAACATAGTATTGGCAAGAAAACAGACACACAGATCAATGGAACAGAACAGAGAGCCCAGAAACAAACCCACACATATACGGTCAGTTTATTTATAACAAAGGAGCCAAGCATATACAATGGGGAAGGGGCAATCTCTCCAACAAATGGTCCTGGGAAAAGTGGACAGTCACATGCAACTAAATGAAACTTGACCACTATCTTACACCATACACAAAAACTAACACAAAATAGATTAAAGACTTGAACATCGAGAACTGACTTCAAAACTCCTAGAAATAAAAATAGGCAGTAAGCTTTTTGACATTAGTCTTAGGAAGATTTTTTGGATTTGACACCAAAAGCAAAGGTAACAAAAGCAAAAATAAACAAGTGGGACTACATCAAACTAAAAAGCTCTGCACAGCAAAGAAAACCATGAAAAAATGAAAAGGCAACCTACCCAGTGGGAGAGGACATTTTCAAACAACGCATCTGATAAAGGATTAATCTCCAAAAACTTTTATCTAGCTAGCTAGCTAGATCAAAAACTCATACAATCCAATAGCAAGAAAAACTTGCAATCGAGTTAAAAAACGGGCAGAAGATCTGAATAGACATTTTTCCAAAACAACACAAACAGATGGCCGACAGGTATGTTAAAAGGTGCTCAACACCACTAATGATCAATGCAAATCAAATGGAAAATGCAAATCAAAACCACAATGAGATACCAAGTCAAATCTGTCAGAATGGCTATTTTCAAATGCACAAGAAAATAACAAGCGTTGTCAAGACTGTGGAGAAAAGAGAATCCTTGTGTACTGTTGGTGGAAATGTAAATTGATCCAGCCACTATGGAAAACAGTATAGATGTTCCTCAAAAAATTAAAAATAGCTCTACCATACAATCCAGCAACTCCACTTCTGAGTATTTATCTGAAGGAAACAAGAACACTAATTCAAAGAGATATCTGTAGTCCCATGTTTATTGCAGTATTATTCACAATAGCCAAGACAAAGAAGCAACCTGAGTGTCCACAGATGGATAAATGGAGAAAGAAGGTATTTTATACATACATACATATATATACACACACACATATATAAAAAACATACATAATGTATACATAATTCATATATATATGATGGAATATTACTCAGCCATAAAGAATGAAATCATGCCATTTTTGATAACACAGTTGGAGCTTGAGGGCATTGTGCTTAGTGAAATGTTAGGCAGAGAAAAGCAAATAAATACCATATGATCTCTTATATGTAGAATCTAAAAAGTATAATAATAAAAGTTAAAAAATAAAAACCAAGTTCATAGGTACAGAAAATAAATTGGTGGTTGCCAAAGTAGGGGTGGGGTTCAGTGCGAGAAATGAGTGGAGGCTGTAAAAAGGCGGAAGGAAAGAAGGAAGGCAGGATGGAAGGAAAGAAGGAAGGAAGGAAGGAAATGTTAAGCTTCTAAATTAACGAAACTAGATTTTTTTTTTATGTGAGCTAATCAATGTCCTTACATTTAAGCCATTTTGGTCGGTATTTCTGTTATGTACAGCCACACTGTATCTAAAAACTTACCAATAAAAATGTTAAAATAGAAATCTATCAGGAAGTATTTGCCAAAAGTTTACTGTAGACCATGCACAGTACATAATGGTTCTGTCCCTCAAATTTAGTTTAATTCAGTGTGTCTCAAAAACAAACTGAGTTAGTATCACGGGCCTGGGAAAGGGAAAGAAGTTGCAAAAATGCGTATTCCTTGGCTTTACTATACACCTACTAACCCAAATCTTGGGAGTGGTGGGGAAAGCAAAAACGTGTATTTTACGTAAGGACTTAAGGAATCCTAATGGAGTCTGAAGACTAAACGTTACTGAGTCGTTCAAGACCGGTCACGTGAATCAGTGAATGTAAGGCAGATATATAATAAAGCACTTAAGTGTGAAATGCGGAATATGAGCTCTCAAGTCATGCAGACATTCAGAAGTAGCTCAGCAAACTGGAAGGCAAGGCTGATCCCACCACTTATCAAGCAAGCATTTCAGTTAATTCATCTTTAAACAGGGTTAACAAAGCGACTACTTCACTTTGTGGTCCTGAGTTCTGAGATAACATGTGAGAAGCATGTGGGAGGTGGTAGTGAAACCAAATTTTAAAAACTGTATTCAACTAAATTGGAATACAATTGTGACACACTTATTTTAGCAATAGTAATTGTATTCACTGGCAAGTCTGCTTAGACATAATTTGCAAATCTTTTAGTTAACTTTAAAACCCTGTATTAATGTGACATTCTATTAAATAATGGATAATCATTTAATATTTGGATAATTTCTACATAAAATACTTGAAATATTGGTCAATATTTGCTTACTATTTTCATATGCTATGAAATGCTTTTTCTTTACTTAACATTTTATTTTTGCCACTTTGAAGCTGTAAAAATGGTGATTGTGTAGCTATAGATAATTGTTTTATGTGTGCTCATGAAATTTGCTGGTATGCTAACAAGATTGTGTATGAAAC